TTTTAGATGCATGCCGGTATACAACAAAAAATGTCCTTACTTCACCGTACCTGACATGCCATCCTTTTAAGGGTCCTTAGGGTTTGACCTGAGGTCATTTGGTGCTCCTACTTACTCAGTTTCTCCCTTTGTACTGTATGAAAAAGATAGCAGTGGATGGACTAAGCACAGCCATTATAACTTGCCCAGTCTGGTAATCAGATTGTTTTGTATGTGTCCATTTTGGCTGGTGTTATGAAACCAAACTGGTGCAAAAGACTAGTTACCTTTTGCATTGCTTTCCCTGAGGCCAGTTCATCAATGCACCATATCAAACGTTTAGTAACATTAATTAGTTTTAGCATTAGGGTTTTTTTAAAAAAAATATCCAGTGATTCATCTTAATATTTTAATTTGGAATCAAAATGACAATTCTCCTGTTGGTTTGACCAAATTGATTCAGATTACCCATTCAGCTGTTCTAGATTGGTCTAGAAAAGCCATTCCTAACCCTAATGGAGAATGATGTTGTGAATCTGTCTACTGCCACTACTTATCACAGCTTGAAGCCACAGAACATAGTACTAGAAGTGGCCCACAGAGGCTGGAGTACATAATAAGAGAGAAACCGAAGTGGAAAAATTAATTTCAGGAGAGGTTTTTTGGGGGGTTAACATCTGTTTTGTATTTAGTCCTGGCAGTTATAGGAGAAATGTTTGGTACAGAAGGTGTTAAGAAAACCAAATGGATAAGTGAGGAATGGTATGTTTGTCAAAGGCCTGTAAGCAAAATTACTTCGATGTGTCACCACAGAAAGTAAAGATCATTTTTTTAAAATACAGTTTTACATTGTAGAATTCAATTCCAGTAGACGCAGTCATGGCCACAAGCACAGATGGTTTTAAAAATGGATTAGATGATTGATGGAGGACAAGTCCATCAATGGTTAATGGCCAAGCTGAGTAAAGATAATCTCCATATGCAGAGGCTGTAAACCTCTGAAAACCAGTGCTGGGAGGCAACTTCAAGGAGAAGCCTTGGCCCCTATGCTGTTTGTTGGCCCTCCAGGGCAACTGGGTGGACACATCTGAAACAGTGTGCTGGATTTATTATGAACTGCTGGTCTGTTCCAGATGGGTTCTTGTTATGACCTTCAGATGAATCTCCTACAGCATATAGAGGCTGTTCATTGTGAAGGAACAAGATTGTGGGTTCTATCCAATGGAAATTTTCCATTAACAGAAAGTAGGGTTGCCAAGTGGATCTTCGTCGGGAGTGTGCCTAGTGTCCTCCCGTCACTTCCGGGTGACGCGCACGTCGGGGCGGAGTTCCCCCCGGGGCCCGATCCGGCACCGCCGGGGAATGGGCCTCTGGGGCGGGGGTTTCCCCGCCCCCCAGGGGGACTTGGGATCCCTAACAGAAAGGAAGGTGGTATACATCAGTTCCCCCTTCCCTCTGCAAACCCCTAACTCTCCCTTCATGCTATTAGTGGGGATCTCTGTCCCCCAAGAGCCAGGGATCAGAAGAGCAAGGCCATTTGGGGCTGCAGTGGAGGTGGGGGAGACAAGGAAGTTCTGTTCCACTGTTGGAAATCCTTTTAGTCACTAAGAGATTTACTGGGGAATCCACCCCATCCACTGGGCTTGGCCCTCTGATCATCCATACATAAATATAATATTTGCATGGGCCTACATCTGGTTGATTCCTAGGACACATGTGGTACATCTGTGATATGTTTTGGTTCACTGTGTGTAAAATCCAATGCAGTTGGGTGCTATAGAAACATGATGCCTGCCAGTGATGTTGAGATCCAGCAGACTTTTCTGATGGGAAATTTTAGTCTTGCCTCACCATCAAGACAGGGAGATTGAACTGTTGGAGAGGAAATGTGAAAGAAGGTTCAGACCTACAAGAAATTTCTGGGGCTAAAATTCTCTTTTCTGGAGGAGTGAAAACTTCATCAGCTTCTCAGCTGTTGATCATGCACAAGGACACTTGGGATAGGATTTCCGAGCCAATGAGTTTTCTTCCTTTTTAAAAACATAGAGCTCATTATGTGTGCTCTTCTCTCTTTTATTAATACAGCTTCCTTTTTTGGGGGGGAAATGCAAGTACATAGCTGCCTCAGTATTTGATGAGCATTGCCATCACAGAACACTTGGCAACAATTAAACTGGTACTTCACCAGACCCCTCAAGCCTGGTTTTCTATTACAAGCACACAGAGTCTACTGTGGTGCTTTCTGAAATATCGTTAGAGCATCTAGCCAGCTGTTAACTGGACTCTTATAGGGTGGGGAGTTCCATTATGGCCGTTCTATAAAAGTTAATGTCCATCTGCATAGAACTTCAAGGAGAAAAGAATTAAGACTGCCTTTTTAAAAATGAGTGAACTGAAAACCCTTTCAGGTATGTGTGATGTGGTACTGTAGTACAGCTTTCTGAAAATAAGACACATTCTTTGAATGAGACTTTTCACTGCATCAACAACTGTTAGCAGCTAAACATTAGGACTTCTGCCCAAACCGTAGAGATTTTCTCCAGTTTTCCTTGGGATTGAATTTCACACCATTTCCATACTTACCCTTAGTAAACAAAACAAATGAAAACCCCTGTTTTGGCACTGAATTTGGTCCTTTCCTACATGTTTCTGTTCATAGGAAGGAAGGGAGGTGATAAGTCATTTCTTCCCACCTGCCTAAGCATCAACAACTAGTCTAATATTTATTTCTTTATTTATTTTATTTATCTACCACCCTCCCCGTAAACGGGCTCAGGGCGGTTTACATCAATTAATATAATACAATTAAAACAATGTTAAAATGTCCATCCAGGATCACTTTCACCTTGACTGCCTAGATCTGGTGGGAAGCAATTTGCAGGGGCTTCTCCAGAGGGATTCAAACAGCCACATGGGAAGGTTGCAGCAGAATGGCATGAAGAAATGGCACCGAGCACCAGGAGAGGAGTTTAATATGAATCCACAGCAACGTGTTTCATTTGTATTCTGATGCATTTTGTTGGAAGTTGATTTGATTATCTGTGAGAAAAGTAGGGTAAAGCCATCTAAATCAATAAATCCTCTTTTGAATTCTTGGGGCAGATTGTTTGGGTTTTGGTCAGCTGCTGTACCACATCATTCTTCCTTTTGTTCAGAAAACATTTTACTTATTTATCTTGCTTCATTTATACTCCACCTTTCACTCCATTGGGGACCCAAAGCGGCTTGCGTCATTCTCCTCTCCTACGTTTTATTTCCACCACAAACCTGTGCGGTAGGTTAGGCTGAGAGTGCATGGACAGCCCAAGGTCATGCAGTGAACCTAAGTCTCCTGGAGCATAGTCTGACACTCGGCTCAGTATCCCACACAGCCTCTTGATGTCGTGCATCCAGGCTTTGCCTTTGGGTGTTATACCTCTTCCCTGGGAGGAAAAGGTAGAAATGAAGACATGAGGAGAACAGCAATTATAGTTAGGTTACATCTCTATAAGTCTCTTATATTCCTTTAAATAACATTTACTGAAAAGACCACATTGTTTTATTATGTGTTTATTTTTTACCGTGCAATATTTTATCATTTTAAATTTTAGAACTTAATGTAATTAAGGTATTGGAGTGATCTGACCTTGATTTTAAATGCTTTATTTTTAAAACCTGCATAACAGTTTAACAGGGCAATTCAGAATCCTTGTTTGGGCACACCTGCATTATACATACCCATCTAGCCTTGGATACCATCTAGAATTTCTGTGGTTACAAGCAGAGGCAATTGTGTTGATACCTGCAGAGGACCACTCATCCCCCCTCCATTCTATTCCCCCCACTCTGTCCCTATTCACCAGAAGCATCATGGGTGGGTGGGTTGGCTGCCATGGGAAGGAGGAATCATCAAAATTGTCTCCTTCCTTGCACCCGCAGAAATTCTTGGTGGGACCCTAGCCCTAAATCATACAAGCATTTTTGCAGAAGACCATAGATATAGAACTGAATATTAATAGGCAGTAGTCCCAACTCAAATTAAGTTAATAATTTTTAAGGAGATTGGTTATTCTACATTGCTTTGGAAACAGCATCTCACAGGATCGTTCTGTCCTTTTAATACTTTTATTTATAACTTTGCTAGGCATTTGGAACTAATTATTTGACCATACAGCATGACTTGTTTAGAATTGCTAGTTTAGCCATTTGAGGAGGAAGGGTAATAAAATTAGGGAGTAGTGGCAGAAAGTTTTTTTGGAAAATGACATTAATTGGGAGGAGGGGTAGAGTTTATGCCCTAAATGGAACAAAAATCTCATTATGTACCAAAATAGGCTTCTGTTTTTTTTGTGTTTTTTTTAGAAAATACAGCTGTTTAATTGCACAGTTGACTATTCATTTGATAATTTATAGCATGACTTTGAAAACACTGGGTTTTTTTGGGGGGGTTTGCCTCATAAATTATCCTGGTATTAAATTAAGCTGTACTCACATTGTGAATATGCATCTTATTGCAAAGCTGATTCTTTAGTTTTTCCTTCACACAGTGCCCAAAAGCACGGATTGGGACACATTTTTAACTATTCACAAGATAGGAATAATGAATGTTTCCACAGTTACTGAAAAAATGACTTGATGAAGAATAATCTTGTGAATCAGCCTTGAGATTTTAGATTCAGTATTGTTGGCTATATTTTATGTTGCATGCCTTCAGCTTGGTTTCTGTTCTGATCCTCTGTTTCTTGCATTTTCTCTAAAAAGACAGCTATCTTTGGTTTGGTCTAAGCAGGTCATTCATGCCTCATTCTCCTGCCTTGCAATATACCATGATTATATGTTCAGTTTTATGTACTACCATATGTTTAATTTTTTTATTTTACCACTGCTGTTTTCTCATTGTTTGTGCTAATTGACACAAGCTGTATAATGCTGTGCATTCAACTTACTATAACTCAGGTGTTTATAGTAGATTCCTTAGATTTTTGCAAGGAACTGATTTGGCAAAACCTTCAATTTTATTATGTATAAACATTGTCTTTCAGATTTTGACTTGATCTATTTCTGGCACTGGAGCAGGTTTACAGATTATGTGCAATGTGTTCTGGCTTTCACTGGAGTCACAGGATACGTCACTTACCTTTCTCTCGACTCGATTATCTTTGTGGAAACATTGGGCTTCCTTGCTGTGTTCACTGAAGCCATGCTGGGCATCCCACAGCTCTACCGTAACTATCAGAATAGGTCGACTGAAGGAATGAGGTAAGATCCTACATCTGTAACTAAACTGTCTCAGTTAAGAATTCAGCTGTATTCATTTTATTGTTTTACTTTTCTTCCACAATGATCCAAGAACTACTCTAATTAAAACAGAGAATTGCACCAAAGATAGAACCCACCTTCTGTAAATGAATGGTTCAATAAAAATTTGGTGTCCTGCTTTATTGACAAGACTAGCATATTATCAGAGAATCTGAAGGAGTAATTAAAAAGACCAATAAATGTAATAAACAGTGGATACTGTTTATTACATTCTGAAATTTAGAGTGTTGAACTGGATGGGCCATTGTCCTGATCCAACATGGCTTCTATTATATTCTTAGTGCAAGGATTACTTGTAATGATATTTTATTGAGTTTCCACCTGCACATGAAAGAATGGGATCTGACCCAAAGTGGGTTCTGACCGGTGTTCCCTCTAAGCTGAGTTAGTGTGAGCTAGCTCACAGTTTTTTAGCCTCCAGCTCACACATTTTTGTCTTGGCTCAGGGAGGATGGCTCCAGAGCAAACTAATTTTTGCAGCAGCCAAACTGCTTGCTCACAGCTTTAATGCCAGGAGCTCACAAAGTAGAATTTTTGCTCACAAGACTCCCACAGCTTAGAGGGAGCATTGGTTCTGACCCAATGTTTCATATGGTAATGGGATTATGGGTTCATGAGTAATCTGAAAATCTCAGCTAGGAAATATGCTAAATACTGAGCTTTGTACTTTAGATTCTGTACCAGAGTTTATGAGATGCAGAAGTCAGTATCTTGAGAATTCTATCTTTGGTTTAAAAGCATAGTGCTATAGTCTTTAACCTTGCTGAGCCTGAGGACACTTCTAGAATTCTGAGACAGGGTAATGGGTTCCTCCACAAAATGGCTGCCCTGTGAGGTGGGGCCGGTCACAAACAGCTGCGAAGCTCCATGCCAAATGTCCTGTTACACTGGGGACAGTTACTTCCAAATGGCCACTGCCTGCAGCCATAAACATGATGTCTCCTGGGTTCTTCTTAAGAAGAGCTAGAAGGCTGGATGCAACTTTCATCACTCAGTTTTTCAGTTTGCACTGGAAGTTCATTGTCCCTCTCCATGGCTAACATAAATTGAATCAGTTAAGCAAAATAAGGACGTATGCTTACTTTGCACAATTTACATAAGTTGCAGATTCCGTAGAGTGCAAGTGGGTGGGGGAGGCAGGAATCAGTTATCAGGATGAGGGGTTTTTTTTGTCACTGTGACTTTGAACAATTGGAAGCATGATGAATTTTGTAAGATGAGCATCCACCCTCCAGTTAAATATAAATTATCTGGAGTCACGGATGGGGACTGCTGAAAGGCCTTTTCAGATTTTCCTCTTCACCCTGGACACTGATTAATCATGCCTCAGATATGGCTTCTGTCCTTGATGTCATGAGAAATGCTGACAGATGCGATACTCCAAGATGCATGGCATTGCGCATATGCCTTTCAAAGTCATGTTCTCTCTCTAAATCTTCCAGCCTGGCAAACCACCCCACAACCTATATTAGTAGGACAACATTCCTTTGACTTTCTAAAAAAAATTATCTAGTGATCCCATTATATACACAAGAGCCATTCAAACTTCGCCAGTCTTCTCTATGGAAAGTGATTCTTTGTAGGAAAAAGCATGCAAATATTGTGCAGGCAATGACAAGTGGTGATTGTATGTGTTTTTCTGCTTGCGTGTACAGTGTACATGTCCTAATAAGCTGCAGTCAGTTGCAGTATTGTGTGCCTACCAAGTGGCATATGCAGCACATTCCAAACACTATCATGTTGAGTTTGGATGAGTCTTAATGGAGTTGCTTGGGTTGTTTCTAACATGGCATATTCCTTCCATGGAAAGGCACTTCAGTGTACCAAAAAGCACGCATACAACATGTAGATAGTGAAGCATGCTTTTTTCTATACTGAAGAGTCTTCCAGGTATTGAATGTGTTGTGTTTGAAACAGCACAAGTAACTCCATTAAAGAAAGACTCACATGGTGTTTGGCATGTGCTGCGTGCAGGGGTCTTTTTGTAGAAAAAGAGCTGCAGGAGCTCATTAGCATAACTCATTAGCATATGCCACACCCTTTGATATCACCGGAAGTGTGTCATAAGGCCACACCCCCTGACATCACCGGAAGTGCCATAAGGCCACACCCCCTGACATCACCAGAAGTGTGTCAGAAGGCCACACCCCCTGACATAAGCCTTCTGGAGGGGTCTCCATTTGGAAGAAAAGCAGGGTTATCAATGTGCACAGATGGAAAGAGAGACAGAGGAAGAGACAAGGGACTTTTCTTTGCAGTAAAAGCCAGAAGCCTCCTTTAAATAAATTCTAGCTCTGAGCCTCTGGC